TATCCCCCCCCCCCCCCATTTACGATCAGTTCATTGTCCAGGCATAAAATGTAATAAAGTGTGATTTTTTTTCACTCTCAATGTACGTTTTTAAAAATCCTTACTTGTTCTTTCTCTTCCATGCTCTTAGATCCATGGAAGTGGGGTCACAGGAGGAGGATGGATGGGGAGCAGATGGGTTGGGTGGGGTGGGGTGGGGGCTGTGGTTCCCTTATACCTCCTTGGTCAACAATAAGCTGAAGCCGCACTACATCAGTACATGTGGCAGAGACAATCTGAGAAAGTGGCTGGAACCAGCCGTCACCTAAGGCCCCTGTCCTTCACTGGTCCAGTCAGGCCCCCCTGTGCTCTCCTGGCATGCTGATCAGAGGATTAAGGCCTGGAGATGGCGTTGAGTCAAGAGCACGCTAGAGAAAGGGAATGGCATGCAGGGAAGATGAGGTACAAGCTGGTTTCACACGCACCCACACCCACACAAGAAGGCGAGCAGACGTATATCAAGAGGACTGCACACTGGCCTGCACCAATGGCAGCTTGTCAGTAGAGGGTACCACTGTGCCGCCACTCAGTGTTTGCACAGGGGAAAAGTTATTTGAAATATCTTTAAAAATATTTTCACTATACTCATTTGAGTATATATAGAGAGAAAGTGTGTAAAATGCGTTATCGCTGCACTTCACCAGTCATTTCCCTGTCTTGTATCTTTAAGGGAAACTCTTACTTACTCTATACTGTTTTCAGCAGCCATTAAAAACACAACAGAAGACACATACTGTAGTGCATACTGTAGAAAATAAAACCCAGCAACAGCAACAAACAGACTGAGTGAAGACTTAAAAGTAGAAGTTAGAAACAGAATGACGTAAAGTACAGGAATTAATCTATATGTTGCTTTTGCTTTAGACACTAGTCAGATATAAACAACGGTTCAATAAAACGTTCTCGTTGCGAGCTATACATAGGCCTCACACAAGAACCACTGGTGTGGAAAGACCACGTACAAATAATTTATACAAACATTTACCAAAAATTGTTCTATATAGTCAGCCTTTCTGGAAAATAGAAAAAGGTGAGTATTTTGGCATGACAAAAATTACATTTATCCAATTCAGTATTTTCTTGTAAGATTGCTCAACTCCAACAGCTGCCTCAGGATCATTATGTAAGTATTTGTTCAGGAGAACATCCATTGTTGCAACATGTATTTTAATCAGTCATCCATCTCTGTGACTGTTTGATTCCCTGGAACACCACTTTATGAACCACTTTGCTTTAGCAAGAAAGTTTTTGGCATCTAACTTTGCGTCAAAGTTCGTCAGGTCACGATCACGAGTGATCTACAACAAATGTATGCAGTTTTTAGGCTTGCTGCATCTGACTCTTGAACAAGCAAACTTAATGAAAAAAGTAAAAGAGATTAACAATGAATTCACTGAATGAAAAAAATGGTTGCAGTATTAAAATTAATGCAATTAGTTCTTTGCACTCTTTTAAAATGTCAGCAACCATTTTTAGCCTGCACACACTGCTTTCATTCAACCATTTGTCTCTGGCTTTTCTGCTTGAAGTTGAAAACGGTGTTGGCGCAATATACTGTATGGCTGGATTCCAAAATATTTTCCTCACCAGTGCATCCACCAACCATTCAGGCCTCATTATGACATTAACGCTATTTGCTAGAGTGTCAGAAACACTATTCAGGTAATAAAACAGAGACAAGCATTAAGGTTATTAGCCCAGATTTAATTGGTCCCAAACTCTGTAGCAAAGTCATTTTGGACCAGCAATCCAGGACTCTGTAGTGAAGTCTTTCCCCCAGAATGCTGCATTTGGATTTTGAATTAAATTGAAGCACTTTATCAATTAATTTTCTTCTCTCATTTTCGAGCTATTGTTTTGATGTGCTATATGAAGTCCTAAACATCTCTTTTTGAAGAAGTGAGGACCAGGCAAATATCCCACCTTCCAGAAATCTGTTGTTCAAATATGTTTAAACTTTCTAACGGAGGTGCTAAAAATGCACACATTCTTTACTCAAGCAGAAGTACAGATACTTGTGTAAAAAAAGACTTCGGTAAAAGTAGATGTAAAGATTCAACTTCTTTACTCAAGTAAAAGTGGAAAAGTACAGGCTCTAAAACATACTCAAAGTATAAAAGTAAAAAGTATTCTCTCTCTTAAGGACATTTCTACCAACTGTTTCTCTGCAAAGATAACTGAAACATCAAACAGGGCTGAGTCTCCCTCTCTTGTCTGCTTCGTTCTTCTTTGTTACATCTTACATCTTATGTTTTGCGTGATATGCACTGGTCTTGATGTTGGGAAAGCGTGCAATAATGCAAAAAATAATTATGATAATCAATAATTCCCCTCAAATGCATTAAAACAACAGTAACATTCCAATTTAGAAAATGAAAAGAGGTCGAAAGTAAGATATTTGTGTTTAAATGTAGGGGATAAAAGTCAAAAGTTGTCAGAAAAATAAATGCTCAAGTAAAGTACAGATATCTGAAAAAAACTGCTTAAGTACAGTAAAAAAGTATTTGTACTTTGTTACTTCACACTTCTACTTTCTAAAAATGTCCTTATCTGCAAAAATGTAAATATTTTCATGCTAGAACTCAAACTGGTTAAAGCATACATACACACAATTACTAAAATGTCCTCACTTTGTATACATCTCAATGTCCTAAATGGCTTCACTTCACAAAAATGTCCTCATTTAAAAAAACAACCTCACAGAAGTACAGGAACACACGTTAAGACAGGTTTTTACAAATTACAAATTAACAGGGTCATTAGCAATGCTCCTTCCCACAAATCGCAGTCCATTCAGGCTACTTGTGTTTTGTGTGTTTGGTCCTGCCCACCGATCGGTAGGCAGGTGGTCAGCAGGGCTCAAACTGTTCCGCCTTCACGTGAAGCCAAGAAAGTGTGGCCTCTTCTTGAATGTACCCCAGCAGTGACCCATCCTCTGATCCTACTCACCCCTGAAACACACACACACTCATAGGACACCTTGTTAAACTCAGCAAGGGGCTGCTGGCTCTTCTAGTGCTAGTCGTGGGGGGCCCTCTATGTGAGTAAAAAGGGAGGCCGCAGGACAATAACACATACAACAGAGTGTGTGCTGTTGACATCTGCATACTCCTGGCACAGGAGGCAAGTCCAAAACTCATCTTTTTGTTCTTGCGTGTGCTCTTGTGTCACCAACAGTAAAAAGTCTACTTTCTGTCACCTCCAACTTTCTCTGTGATTGTTTTATGTTTTACTCTGATAGGACATGCTATTTGTCAAAACATTAGCTGGTTTCCTTAATTTAAAGGTTTATGCCTGTGTTCTCATGACCTCATTCCTCCACTTCTTGCTAATCTTGTATGTAAGATTGAATATCTGAGGCAACAAAACAGAGAGGTTTAACCTGCTGAATATATTGAATAAACCCCACTTCTCAGCAGATGATTTTGTGTGCCAACCCAAACAGCAGAAACGAGAGATGTACAGATTTTCTTATAGTTATCGGCATTTCAATAGGGCCAGTACGCTTAAAAAAAAAAAAAAGAGCCAAATATGGACAGAATTACATTTGACACATCGTTTGCAGATTTACGTCCACTAATGTGGATGCGGCCAAAGACATGTGGGAGGTGGTCTAGGGATTGTTTAGCAGTGTGCATGTGTCTGCTTGCAGATCCACGTGCATGTGTGTCTGCTTTGGGAGTAGCAGGTTGGGCACGGACGTCACAATATGGGCTTTAATTCAGACCAACAGCCTCTGTGTCAGAAAGGAGGGGACAGAGCAATTAGACCCGCGGAGGAGATGGAAAGAAAGACGGAAGGGAATTGTGAATTTGACACATTAAATGGTGGTCGTCATTAGCATGTGGCTTTGTAGAGTTGGGGTGTATTCACTGGATCCTTGAATGCATATTGCTTCACTACCACGGCCGTACCCCCACCTCTCTTCTTCTCAGTCTGTCCATCATCCCCACGGCCACCTTTCACTATAATCACCCTATTTGGCCTCCTTTTTCATTCAGTTTCTACAGCTTTTCTGTTGCCTTCATCTTTTTATGCCGTCATGCTGACTGGAATAGAGTCCCTGGAATCCTAAATCAAAACAAATTAAGCTGGATAATTAGATGTAGGAACAAATGAAATGTCAGACTCTAGTTGGTAGACTCAGCACCAATAACAGCATGAGCTTATCTTCCTGTATTAGAACCAGATATACATTTGATACTGTTTTTATAGAATGGCTGGTGGATGTTACTCAGCAGTTCCTGCAGGGTTTCTGAGGACACATTAAAAACTCATTTTGACTTGAATTAGTCTTTCGTTTTGCTGAAGACCTGACGCAGTTTCTGTTGGAGCTGACTTTCACTCAGCTTGTTGTCTCTGCTATATGAGCCTGGAAAAGAGCAAAGTAGCAGGCCCAGTGTGGTGCCTTTTCCTCCATTGTGCTGAGATCACCTCATGCCAGCTTTCCCCTGTCACATTAGTGCACATCAAGACACTGAGCAACACACAACCCACACAGAAAGGAAATGTGTCCTCTGGGTTTCTACTCAGTTGGGAGTTTTGTGTTTGCAGGTGATCCTCTATTAAGAATTAACATTGATTAAATCCAAGAATGACACAATGTGTTTCCAGAGTGCTGGAGGGACATGGTTTGGGATTTTCATCGTAGTGTTTGTAAATGACTCAGCTATTTTGTGTAAAGCTTCTGTACATGCACGCAAATGTTTCTCCCCTCAATAGTTTGTTTCAGTGTTGAACCAACTCTAAAACACACTGGATGCTTACTGAAGGGACCCTGGCATTGCATTGGCATCAATGATGCAAATGTTAAAGTTCCCCTCTACTCCACTCCACTGTAGAAACCTGAAGCCACCAGTGCACATTCACACTGAGGCTGGAGGGTGAAAACTTAGCTGATTTGTCACCAGGTTATCGTTGTGTTGTTGGTCTAAACGCTGGTGGCAGCTCTGTTGTTTTTGGGGTTTTTCTGTGGGATCCACGTAGCCCCCAATATCTGACTGAAGATTTTGTCCTTGCATGTAGGATATCAAACTTTGTCCAGCAGTCAGCTCTGCTTCCATTTTGCTGAGGTAACCAGGTCTAAATGACATGTACACTTCCTAATATATTTTAAAAGAAAATGTAATTGCCTCCTGGGTTATGTTCACTGACAAAATTTTTTACTTTCCAGTAAGTGCTACATCCCTGTACTGCACACAAGCTACAAGAAAGTGGGGAGGGTGGTTGGTGAGCATGAAAAACACTTGATACCTCAGATTGGCTTTTG